TTCCAAACCCAGTTAGGCCACTTTGGGGGTGGGGGGGGGAGGTCTGAGAGGAGGGCTGCTGCTGGGGCGAGGTGGTTAAGGGTTTAGCTGCTAGTCAAAGGTTCGAGCCCACCAGCTGCTCTATGGGAGAACAGCTTGGCAATCCACTTCCCTGGAGAGACAGCCTCGGGAACCCTCTGGGGCAGTTCTACTCTGTCCTGTGGGGCGGCAGTGGGTTGGGATTGACTGGGTGGTAGAGCCCTAGTGGCGTAGTGGTGGCACTTTGGGCTGCAATCTGCAAGGTCCAGTTTGAGACCAGCCAGCTCCGAGGGAGAAAGATGGGGCTTTCTACTCCCGTAAACAGTTACGCTCTCAGAAACCCCCAGGGGCAGTGCCACCCTGTCCCTCAGGTCACTTCGATGGCAGTGAGAGGCAGTAGAGGGTGTGGGTTTGGTGGGTCCCAGCGGTGTCCCTGGTAGTAGAAATGGTTCAGCATTCACTTGCTGACCCTAAGGTTGCTAGTTCAAACCCACCCCAGAGGCCCTGGATGAAAGGTTACAGTCACCAAAGTCATGTGGGGCGCGGTTCTACTCTGTAACACCCGGGGTCAGCACCGACTCATTGCAATTACGCTGTTTTTTCCCTTTTTCTTTTGGGTGAGTCCCCTGCCAGGGGCCACCCCTTCTTGGGGTGACTTCGCCCTAAGTGGGCAGTGCTCCAGAACTCTTTACAGCTGTGGAGAGGACACTGAACGTGGCCTGGGCACAGCTGGGTCCCCTGGGGGAGAGGCCGCATCCAATGACTGAAGTGCTGGCCACTGCCCCAGCCCTCTGCCAGTGTGCAGGATTGATCCAGGCATCCCATGGGTTCCTTGTCACTGCTGGAATGCTCTAGAAGTTTCCACCACTTTGATTCTGGGCAGAGCCACCTCCTCTTCTCACATGTTGTCCTAGCACAGGCAGGTCCGTTCCTCACCTCATGCGTCTTTCTTCCCCTCCTCCTCTTTCCGTCCTTTCTTGTCTTACATGCATGTTTATCAAGCACACTGCATGTGCCAAGCTCTGCCCTGCGTGCTGCTCTCCCTTTGCACTTTCCGGGTGAAGTAGAAGGTTTCGGTGCATTCAGGCCCTGCCTTGGTTGGATGACCACTCTTGGTCCAGGCACTGGACTCTCCAGTTTTGCGGGATGACGGCGCCCACCATCCTCCCACGGCGGTCTCTGTCCAGAGAAGTAGCTTCAGGGTCTCTCTTGCAGGCAGAGGGCAGGACATGTGAAGACTTCGAGGATGAGGACCACTATGCGTCCTCCTCGCCCCCCGACAGCTCCTTCACCCCCTTGGATGGAGACCTCCCCACCACCACCACCTCCTCCCTCCCCATTGACAGCCTCACCACAGAAGGTAAGGCCAGTCCCGGGGGGAAGCACTCGCTGTCCCGACTGGGAGAAGGAGGATCTCACGGAGCAGGAGGAATTAGCTCTGGGAGAAGAAGGATCTCACAGAGCAGAAGGAATTAGCTCGTGAGCCAGGCACTGCTCCATCCTTGTTCAGACAAGGGGCTTGTGGCTCAGCGAGCTTAGGTCACTGGACCTAGTCCACGCAGCAGTAGCGGCAGGCGTAGAACAAGTGGGCACTGCACCCTGGCTCTGTGTGGCTTGCAGCAGGGCCCTGGGACAGAATTTCCTGTGTTGGCACAAGAACCTTTAGGTTCCTGGAAGGTTACCAGCTGGAGACTAGCCCACCAAGTCAGCAGTTTGAAACCATGAGTTGCTCTGAGGGGGAAAGATGAGGCTTTCTGCTTCTGTAAAGATTTGCAGCCTCCAACCCCCACAGGGGCAGTGCTATGGGGCTGCTGTGAGTTGAGGTTGATGGCAGTGAGTGAGTGGAGGGAATAACTGAGTCCCCAGCTCAGTGCCCAGTACTGAATAGCCTTGATTGTGGTTCACTGTAACCGTCTGCTTCCCAGTCCGCTGTGAGCGCTGGCCATCCTACAGCACGTTTGAATTCACTCCGCCCACTCAGACATGAGAGAGGAAGACTGCCTGTTTCTTCTAGAACTTAACCTCACTGCTGCCTGTCTCTCAGCCCCTCCTCTGCTTCAATGGTGGGAGATTCCACCTCAGCCATTCCTCTGGGGCCGCCCCCGTCCCGTGGCCTCACGTGGGCAGAAGACCAGGGTGGGACCACTAGGTCCTCCCATCCTGATTTGGTGCTGTCCTCCATCTGCGGGCCTGGATATCCTCAGGGGTCTCCGTGTCCCCTCCTAACTGGGGGCACCCCTCCAGTCCTAGGAGCCTCAGAGCTCCCCTCTCTTCCTCCCCCCAACCCCAGGAGCCTTTGACTCTCCAGCAGATTCCTCCTTCTTATACCTTTCTAATAGATTTAAAGCCGAGTCCCCTACTTTGGGAGAAAGTGGAGGCTGTCTGCTCCCCTAAAGGCTCGTAGTCTTGGAAACCCCACATGGTACACGTGACATGGAGTCAGAACCCACTGGCAGTGCCTGGGGGGTTGCTTTTTCCTTCTGCTGAGACAGAGTTCTGACGGTCTCATGAGGCAGTGAGCATGGAGCTTGAGTGGAAGGGGCAAATGGCAGAGGGCCAGATAGAAGGAACCGAGGGATATTTAAAAACCGATTCAGCCCCAGTCCCCTCTGAGGCTCAGGAAGCAGACTTATAAAAGGCAAAGTGACTTGGGCTCACGGGAGAGATGTGTGGTGGTCTTTCCACGGCACCTCCTGCTTTCCAAAGGGAACTGGAGCGGGAATGGCCGTGCAGGATGCAAACATGCTAGAGACGCTCCGGGCCACGTGGGGTGCTGGCGCTGAGCTTGGGTTAACGCTCCCCACGGCCTCCTTCATCGCCTTGTTACAGAGAAGACACTAAGGCTCAGAGAGGTAGACAACTAGCCCAGGGTCACATAGCCAGTCCAGTCTCATCTGGTCCTAAAAGCCTTCTGGACCTTTCTCCTTAGCCCACGGCCTTTCTGAAAGGAAGGAAACAGGATGCAGGTGGGTTCCGGAGTGGGTAAAACAGAGAGGGGCTGGGACACAGCTGACGGGGATGCTGCTGGCTAAAGTGAAGGTCAGAGGCCAGGGGGAAGAAGCTGGGAGACCGCAGCCGAGTCCAGCAGGGTCTTCCAGGGAGAGAAAGTCCCTGTGAAAAGAAGTAACCCTCCATTGGGCAGAGGGCCAGAGGGCAGAGGGCAGCCGCAGTGAGGGTGGAGGGCTCAGGATGTAGCATCTAGGGACTGGGTTCAAATCCTGACGTGTCTCCTGGAGGCAATGTGCCCGTGGCCAGTGACTCAACCTGCCCAGGACTCCATGTCTCTCTTGTGTTCCTGCCGGGTGGTGTGTCCTTCCACAGAGGCAGCGTGTTCTGCCTGTCTGCTTCATTCGCAGTACCATCTCCTGCCCAGCCGGCGCTGGGCCTTGCTTGTTTCGCTGTGTAATAGTCCCCAGGGAAAACATCCACCGGAGTCAGCGAGGACAGCTGCGGGGCGGCGTGGCCTGCCAGGCCCGGAGGCGGCGGCAGAGATAGTCTCGGTGCATCTATAAGGGGGAAATAGAACGAGGTTTTCCACACAGACGTCCAACTCACAAACTGCCTTGGTTGGCAGGGCAGGTTGCAGTCACCCTCCATCTGAGCCATAGCGGCAGCCAGGGAGCACAGTCCACACAGCAGGGGGGTGTTGGGGAAGACGGGGATGCAGCTGAGCCCCCGCCAGAGGAGGGCAGCGGCAGAAGGCATCAGGGCACGGGCACAGGTTCCTAGAGGGTGCCTAGACCCCTTCTGGAACCAGCCAAGCAGAGAAGCAGAGGGGTTTGTCAGAGATTGTCATGGGTGGTGTCCCCCAAAATATGTGTCCGCTCGACTGAGTTAGGATTCTCGGTGATTTGGCCGTGATACAGTGTCATTTGGCAGTTATGTAGTGATGCAATCACTCCCATGATATGATCAGCCAGTCAATTACAAGGGGATCAGGGTAGGAGGCAAACCTTCATTCAGGCCACAGCCCTGATCCAGTGTAAGGAGATGTGGCCCGCATCATGGTTTATGATGCAGGAGACACAAGGAGAGCGAACCGAGCAGAGAAGAGGGACATGACTACTACCAAGAAAGAAGAGCCAGGGAGGGAGATCATCCTCTGAACCCAGGGTCCCTGCTCGGAAGACGGACGCCAAGGCACATGGAGATCTTCAAAGAATGTCAGGCCCACAGATGTTGAAAGCAGACAAGGACCCCCGCCCTCACCCCCCAGGAAGGTAGAGCTAGAAAGTCTTCCCTAGACCTGGCACCCTGGGCTCAGACTTCCAGCCTCCTGACCTGTGAGAGGATACACTTCTCTTGGTCAAAGGCATCCTTGGCTACATAGAACAGACGTTCCAGGCGCTGGAAGCGCAGCAGCTGGCTTTTAAGAGTTGTTCCCTTGTAATCAAATGCTACTCACTGAAGTGAGCCAGAATGACCTCTGAGTGGCAGGAGAGGGGAGAGAGGGAAACAAAAGCAACAATGTAGCTGAGTCCGGATCCCCGCCTGTGGAGCTGCAAGGAGGCAGCAGCGGCAAGCTGTGGCTGTGTTGAGAAAAAGCCCCTGTGCAGCCCTCCAAGACTGTGGGGGGGATAGAGAGGAGAGATGGAAACAAAAGTAACAATGTAGCTGAACCCAACCCCTATCAGCTGGAGCTGCAAGGGTCCAGTCCCTGCCCTGAGGCAGGCGGCAGCAAACTCTGGCTGTGTTGAGACCAAGTCCCCACATCTGGGCTCCAAATGGTCCTGGCCTTGGTAGAGACAGTGGCGGGGCCAAGGTCAAGCCCCAGCCGGCTTCCACTGAGGTAAGCCAAAAGCCCCCAGCCCCTCAAAACCCTGTGGGTCTGTGCCTACTTATCTTTATGATGCTCCTCCTGCATTCCAGCAGCGTTGAATTTCTCCCTAAGCAACTCTGCTGGGCTGAATTCTGGGGAGTCCCTCTGGTGTGTGTCACTCCGTTGCCATCTTCCCTGAAGTTGTTTGGGAAGTTGGTTTCTCATTGGCCAGCTCCACTCCCGTTAGGCCTTGAAGCAAATCACGTCCCTTCTCTGTGCTTCCACTTCCTTGCCTTTGATGAAAGGCTGGACTAAACCTCCCCCACAGTCCCATGCAGACCTAAAGTGCCAAAGGCCAAGGCCGCCACTAATCTCCTTTTCTCCTCTCTCTCTGAGATGACACCAAGGTGAACCCCTACGGAGGAGGAGATGGTGAGTACGATAGATCACCTGCCGCTCCGGAGCGGAGGGGGAAGGGAGCAACACCAACCCTCGTGTCCCAGACCTGGGCCTGCGTGGGAGGCAGGCAGGTTTCTTGGCACCAGCCCCTAGACTGAAGGAACATTTTACACCTAGATTATTTCTCCTCTCAGCCAAGAGCCTCCTGCGCTTCTTCTCCCACCTGTCCTTGAACATTCACCACCTGAAATAAGTGGGGGGAGGAGGGGGGGCTGAGCAGCTGGGGCACGTGGCTGCCACATCTCACCCTGGGGCCTGACAGTCAACAAGGGGGAATTACAGCTTCTCTCCTGCTCATCTTGCTTTGATTTCCTACCTGGCTTGCCCGACAAAAGGTATCCACCACAGGGTTTTCAGGGCGCCCAGGGGTGGGGCACCCTCACCCACCCACACCCAGCCCAGAATAACCTGGGAGCATGATCTCCTCGCTGCTGACCTGAGGCAGCCCCGCCTCTCCTGCCAGGCCCTGGCTGCCACCACTGAGCTGAGTTGAGGCCATGGAGTAGAGGTTAAGGTGGATGAGGGCACAGATTCCCAAACTTCCTTGGCCCACCGGCCCCTTTTCAGAAAAAAAAGTGATTCTGCAGCCCCCTAGCAAAGAAAACCATTTGTACTATAATTCAAGATAAAGTGCAGGTCCTTCCTGGACGGATGCAGGGCCGCCAGGGGGTGGTATTGTCCACCTTGGGCAACACTGGCCTACGGGGCCTAGAATGGACATGGAAATACCTTTCATTTCCACATACTGGGGACTGTCCTACCAGAGTCCAGTGGGAGCACTCGGATTGGGTCTCCTGACCGAGACGGAGGCATGGCTAGTGGTGGACAGGATGTATGATGGGGGAGAGGAGCTAGGTCAGTCTCCTCCCTCTAACCGCGTGCTCACAGGCAGCCCTGGCCATCAAGCCACCGGGGTCAGTGAAGGCTACTGCCTGCCTGACACCCGGGTTAGAGAAGGCTAGCTTGGCTGGGCCACCCCCACCCTCCCATTTGTTGGCCGACGGAGGCTCACAGGACACACCGCAGTGATGGGGGCTGGATCCTTTCCTCAGTTTGCTCTGCTTACAGTGCAGAGCAGCATGAAAGGGGTGTGAGGACACTGCTTTTGAATGCATGTGACCTCCTGTGACCCCCTTCCCACGGTTCGCTTCCACCTGTCCTGGAAACGGGTTCAGCGTTTCTGTGGCATGTATATTACTCTCTCGTCTCCTGCTCAATACCTCCCTAGTCCTGTAGGGCTGGGCGAAGAGGAACGTAACCCCCTCCCAGCTGGTCAGGAACCAGTGGGCACTCTCTCCGTGTGCCCTTGGCCAAGTCGTTTCACCTCTCCGCATTTCCATCACCTCAACCCTGAGCTTCCAGGTTTCCATCCAGTCCTCCACCCGGGGTGGATTTCAGACTGTGTGAGTGGTGTTCTCAGAGTCCCCTCTGGATTCTTCACGTCCAGAGAACCGAGTTCATTCCATGGACTTATTTTCTTTTTAAAATTTTTTCATTATATGGACTTTCCTGGAGTCCTCGTTGGGGGGGGGGTCTCCTGAAGGCCAGGAATACAGAGGTGATGGGACACTGTCCCTGCCCCCAAGGAAGTCATGATCCGGTGCTGGACAGCTAGTGACAAGTACGTACATATAATCATATACAGGTCATTTTGATACAAGACTGACACTTCTGTACTCCGGAAGGTCTTCCCTGTGTCCTTGACATGAATGACCCCATATTAACCCCCCAAGATCCCTTTGAGGTGGTTCCTCTTAGCACCCTTGCTTGACAGAGTGATAACTGAGAACAGAGAGGCTCAATCATTTCCCATAGGCCATGCAGCTGGACAGTGGCCGAGCTTGGCTTTGAACTCAGGCAGCCAGACTCCAGAGCCAGAGCTCTTAACCACCATACCATGGTCCCTTGTGAGTTCCTTGAAAGCACCTATGTGGCATGGGTCTCACAACCCTCAGTACACATTTGGGCAACTCTTATTATAGACATCTACCCGAGTAGTGCCAACAACAACGTGACGTCAAGGCCCAGGGATGCCACTAGCTCGCTGCCTCCCCTTTTCATGTACTGGAAAACCTGGTCCGAAGATCCGGTCGGCTTTCATCTCTGGAGCTTGATCAGAACTGGGAACCCTCGCCCAGTCACGTCCCGACCTTCCGTGGTCCCCTGTATTCCCTCCCTGCCCTAACGGTCTCTTTGCAGGTCTGCAGAACAACCTGTCCCCCGAGACCAAGGGCCCCCCAGTGCACCTGGGCACCATCGTGGGCACTGTGCTGGCAGTCCTCCTCGTAGCAGCCGTGATCCTGGCTGGGATCTACATCAAGGGCCACCCCACCTCCAACGCTGCTCTCTTCTTCATTGAGGTCAGTTCGGAACTTGGCCACAGCTCTGCCATCTGCTTTGGCGTCAGCATGCCCAGGGCCACTGAGGACTTCTTCCCCTAGCACCCCTCCCCCACCCTCTTCCTACCTGAGAAACCTGCACCTGCTCCCCCGGCACGCCTCGCACTGGCCAGTGAGCGCCCTTTTAGCCAGGCTAACCTCAAGCTACTCAGCTTAACCTCAGGGTATTCAGGTTAACCTCAAGGTTTTTCTCTTGGGAACTCCTAAACAGCCCAGCTGCTTTCCCCCCACCTTCGTGAAGGCAGAAAAGCCCACCGAGGGAGGAAAGAGGACCAGAAGTGCCACCTAGTGCCCCCATTTGGTCCTAGCCATTTCTAGCCTGCTGTGCCCAACTCCCAGGCTCAGGGATCGCTCAAAGCCATGATGGAATCTGGGCCTAGGCCTTTCTGCCCGCTGGGTGGCTGCGTGCCTCTTTGAGATTAGCCTCTCTCGGGAAGTTTTCGTGGAGAATACTAGTTTTGAATGTCTTCAAAGAATCGGCCCAAGGTGCAGCATGGGAAGGGGTGCCACCTCCCTCCCCCTGGCCACCGTGCTCAACAGCCCGCAGCCCAACTCTCCACATGCACAGCCGTGGTCCCCCGCCCCCACCGCAAACCCCCTCCAGGGTGCAGGTGACCTTGTCACTCAGAAGCGTAGGCATTTTCTCCCTTTGCTGAGATGGTCCCCCTTTCCTTTTCTGTACCTGGTTTATGAATTGTAAAGGGTTATAGAGCAGGTCCGTTTTCAACAATTCAAACCCATTGTGTTTCATCTCCTTGATTATCAGAGCCCCAAAGTAGCATCACATACCCCACTCCCTCCCTGTGTTGCCTGTTTCCACTCCACCTTCTGAATTGTGTTCTGGGTAAATCCTGCCCGTTTGTCTCAGGTGTGTGTAGTACCTCCCCAGGCTTAGTGGCTCCCCTCATAGACCTATCTATTATTTGGCTGAAACTGAGTCACGGGGGTGAGTTCGTTTCTAGACCTGAAGAGCCACACTCTGGGGGTTCCACCAGTCTCTTTCTGGGCTATTTTATGGTTTTGAATTTTGTTCCACATTTTTCTTCTCCTCTATGCAGAGCAGTTGGTAGGCAGGCATGCTCAGATTCTTCTGGTCTCGGGGACGTGGAGCCTGGCGTTCACACGGTCCACTAGCCCATTGGACTCCGTGCTGCCTTCAACAATAGCTGTACCTTAGTTGGCCACTCACAGGTCTTTAAGACCCCAATCACTACTACCAAAGTAACATGTAGAACAATGATTAATTGAACACACCCCTCCACCACCGTGCAGTGAGTTCTAGCCAATCATTCTTCAGTTTTAGCCGACCTGGAAGTCACCCGAGGAGCTGCACATTCCCAGTTACACAGATTCTGATGCGGCAGTCAGAGGGAGGCCCGGGAATCTGCAGTATAATAAGTCCACCAGCCGACTCTGATACAGGCCCTAGACCAGTGGTTCTCAACCTTCCTCATGCCACGATCCTTTCATACAGTCCTCATGTGGTGGTGACCCCCCCAACCATAACATTTTCGTTGCTACTTCATCACTGTCATTTTGCTACTGTTATGAATTGGGCCACCCCTGTGAAAGGGTTGTTCAACCCCCAAAGGGGTCATGACCCACAGGTTGAGAAACACTGCCCTATACTGTCTGGAGCATTGTCTTGGCATAACCGTGCCCTCCCCAGTCATTTGCACTCCCACACACACACACAAACCTGGCCACAGATTTGGAGCTCTACTCAGTGTGCTACTGCTGTGTGAGGGATAGAGAGGTCCTCCTTTCAAGCCTCCTGGCCCTCTCTGCCCCCATTCTGGCTCCCAGCAGATGTCTTGGTGGTGGAGGGATCACAGGTGGCCTTTGGGGAGAGGAGGCCCTGACCTTCCCCAGGCTCCCAGTAGGTTCCCAGTGCTCCAAGGGCCTGGTGACAATGAGTCTGGGTGTACAGCACTGGGTGCTTTCCTCGAGGGGGTGGGGGTCTCTGGTGGGCAGGGTCACACTACTGACTTGGTGCCTGTGCCCTCCACAGCGGCGACCTCACCACTGGCCAGCCATGAAGTTCCGCAAGCACCCTGGCCACTCCACCTACACGGAAGTGGAGCCCTCGGGCCACGAGAGGGAGGGCTTCGTGGAGGCCGAGCAGTGCTGAGCACACCGGGGCTCCCCTTCGAAAGCTTGGAAGGAAGACCTGGGAACCCCCAAAAGAACAGAGCAGGGAAGCGACTTTTCTTGGCCTCCTTGGAGCACATGCAGGGCTGCGCAGGGCCACAGTCCCCCCGCCCCCCCAGATCTCACAGTAGGTGGTGGGGCCCGGCGGGACACCCCATTGATTTTTTTTACAACAGAATATATATAACCTCATCCTCTCTTGATGTCAGGAGTCTCCCCATTCCGGTCTCTCCATGGAGTATTAGGTAGCTGTCCAAGAGGTCTCCTCCCATCTGGAGAGGTCCAGACACCTTGCTCCGGGTCACCCAAAGCCCCCTCCCGCTTAGGGCGCAGATTGGGGCAGCTGCCTTTGCAGGGTTTCTGGAGCCCCGGGCTGGTCCTCTGACTGTGGTCATTAGCTCCCACTTCTATAGCTTCGAAAGTCTCAGAAGTTCCCTACCTGCTAAGCCTCAGGGCGCTGCCCTCAGCCGCACAGAAGAAAGCCAGCAGAGAGGAGGGGGAGAAGCCCTGGGGAAAGGTGTGTTTCTGGATTTTGCCCCCTCACTTTACCCATCCCGCTTGAATCAATACTTCTGCCCCCAACACGTATGCCCCCAGCCACACGGCTATCACCCCAGCCTGTGGCCAGAGTCAGCTCTGCTGCCTGACGGCGTGGAGCTCTCTACTCTGATATCACACCTGGGCCTCCTTTGACTTAGTCACCCACTCGGCTGGCAGGCTCAGAGAGGGCCACCGAAAACCAAAGCAAAGCCCGAGCAGCCCAGCCAGCCACTGGTGAGCTGGCTCAGACGCATGGCAGCCACACGGTTCGCAGTGGCTGTTCTCTCAGAAGCAAAGCCCTAGGCCTCTTTCCCCAAGGCACCTCTGGGTGGTCTTGAACCTCCAACCTCCTGCTTGCTCACCGAAGACATTAACCTTTTGCACCAGCAGCAACTACATAAATACATCCATCACAGTCTCTGTCTAGTCATGGCCTGTCTGTGCACCCGGCAGCCCAGGGTGGGGGTAAGGGAGTCCCCAGGTCATCAGACACGTCCTTGTGGGGACGTTCATGACAGTCAGAGCTGGGAAGGTGCTGGGCTACTGGACCTCGACGTTGCTTGCTGCTTCAGGGACCAGAGTGGAGAGAGGAACTGGGAAAGGGCGGATGAGGCAATGCTCCAAAGGGCTCTTTCCTCGCTTCCGAGAGACAACAGGTCGGGTCAGAAAGGGAATGGGGCTCCTCACACTCCAGGCTGGAAGTGTGAGCTTTGCTTTTGGCCCAACCAGGAAGGTGTCCCTGAGCTTGATGGATCTCACATGGCCAGTTGGCAGGCAGGCCCTGTGGTGGCTGACTGCCACGTTGAGCTCCACTTGTCCCATTCCCGAACCTCAGCACACCTCTTCCCCAGGAGAGGTCAGCCAGCCACCTGTCCTGGATCCTGTTGGGGAAGAACCCAGGGAAGGTTGAGAGGGGCAAGGTGTGGCCAGGCCCAGACCCGCTGCCGGTGGCCCTGGCCACAGCAAGCCTGGTGGCTCTGCCGTGCGAGTGGCCAGCGGGAGCTATTTGGCCCCGTGGCAGGCAGCCTGGTTTGTTTGCAGCAAAAAGAACTACAGATGAGTCACTGAGAGGCCTCTAGACATCAATACCTCTGGCTTTCTCTAGGGCAGACACCTAGACGCAAGAAAGAGGACCAAATGTGGAGACAGTGTGACTCCAGGTGAACAGGGTAGCTGTGGAGGGACCAGAAGGAGACACAGGGGTCTTGGGCTCTGGCCTCCAAATTCGGCTGACGGCCTGGGAAGGCCAGAGGGCATACTTCACACACTGGGACGGTCAACTGTGAAGCATTGCCAGACTTCCGACCCCTCCTTCATGGGCACGTGCCAGCTACAAAGGAGAGTGGGTGGCTGGCTGCCAGTGCTCCACAGTAGTCTGCCTGTGGGGACGGCAAGCGTGGGGACAGCAAGCTTCCACGTGGTGAAGCCGGGCTGTGGGGAGTTTACCTGTACTACAGAGAGACCGGCAGCTCCCAGGAAGGCTGTTTTATACTGGGACACAAGAAAGTGGCCCTCCCTCTAAAACAAGTAGGGACAAGAAGAGGAATGCAGAGGCCAAGTAGGAGAGGGGACTCCACGGCTAAGGCTGCAAGCCCAACTTCATTCTTTTGACAATTGGCTACCCCTGGATGGGAGCCCTGGTGAGGTAGTGGGTTCTGTGTGGGGCTGCCAACAACCAGGTCCGCAGTTCGATTCCACCTGCCACTCCACGTGTCAAAAGATGAGGCACTTGTTTATTCGACGCCTAGACTTGTGGATCTGTCCACTGAAGTCTCAGGGGACTCTGACTCTAGAACACGATTGTGAGTCTGGTCATCGACACTGATACCCACGAGGACCCGGGGTGGAGCAGATGGACTTTCTAAGCTTGGCTGACTGGCCACCTCCTGCGACTGTCATTAGGCATCACCTGTCATCCCAGCAGGTCCCAGGGCTCAAAGGGCCACATTGGGTCTCAACCTGGAACCTGAGGTACAAAATGTCCTTGAGTCACTGTTAGAGGCCCTTAGTGGACCTATTAAAACAATATATTCACGTAAACGTATGCATTTACCAGGGCCTTCCCTGTGCAATGTACCATAAACACACACACACACCACTCCTGTGCATTCTATAGCTGTAAGCACTGGACAAGGCTGTCTCTCTGCTCGGCCTGGCACTTGCTTTGTTCAAGGAAGACAGTGGCGAAACTGCCAGCCAACGACACTATGTACACACCTGGCCATGCATCTGGCTGTGGGCTCACTTCTCTGGACCAGGCCAAGCCTGGTTGTCAGAGACTCCAGACACGGGACTGAGCAGGGGCTGTGCCGAGATTCCACGGTCACAGTTCAAATGCAGTCTCTATCTCACCAAAAACCTACCTGAACTTACTGCACAAGTAGAAAGGCTCTGGGGACCGAGGGCACGTTTCCTAAGTGCCACTGAGTTGATGTTCAACCCCACGTGACAGAGTCGAGCTGCCCCCAGAGGGTTTTCCGAGCTGTCATCTTTCTGAGAGCAGCTTGCCAGACCTGCCTCCCACAGCTGCTGGGCGGTTTCAAACCACCAACCTTTGGTCAGCAGCTGAGGGCTTACCCAGGGCAACACCAGGGTTCCCGAGAGCACCCTAGCTCGCCTGAAAGTGACGTGTTCACAGCTTTGTGTGACTTCTGGGCACAAGAGGTGAGCCCTGGGGGAGTATTGGTTTTGCATTGGGCTGCTCGGTCAGTTCAAAACCTCCAGCCAGCCGCTCGCTCCATGGGAGAAAGATCCAACTCCAGTTAAGAGTGACCTCCTTGGAAACCCACAGGGGCAGCTCTCCCGTTCTGTCGGGGGGCTGGGAGTTTGATTCCACCCCGGGGTAGTGAGCTTGAGGTTTGGGATGATTTTGTCTCGGCACAGACTCAGTGTTATGAACAAAAAGACACCTTCCTTTTTCTATGTCTGCGGGGGTGCAAAATAAAAGTGCCAAGGACTGGGGTTGACACTCTGCAAATCGCTGCCCTATACCTCAGTTCTGATGACTCCTCGTCCCAGATGGCCTCACCCAGCAGTGGCCTCCAGCAGTGGGCCCATCTGGAGCGCCTTTCCCCGCCACCTGCCCCACTGCCACCAGAGACACCAGAGAGAGACCCCAGCCAGTGGCTTCTTTGCGTTTGTAAATCCCTGGGAGTTTGACCTCATGGGCTTGTAACCTACTATCTAGAACTACGAAATAAAATTGAGTACGTGGATGCAGTCACTCCTCTGGGCGATTCGCATTCGGGCAACGTCCGCAGCCTTGTTTTTGTCTTGTTTCTATGCCCTTGCACATTTCACTCACCAACCCACAACAGAGAGGGAAAACATCTGAACTCCTCACGGCCCCAATCAGCCAGGCCAGACTCCAGGCCGCAAACAAGCCGATTTAGAAATACACGTGCTGCGTTTGCCAGAGAAAGATGAATGTTTGGGGGGAGCGACATGGACCGCGGAAGAAAGCCCTGGGCTGTGCTGAGCTGGACCGGGGACGCTGTGCCACGGGGGTCACCTCTAGAGGCCTCGCTGGGCCTATTTCCACTGCTGTCAGACCAGGGGAGGAGCCCGGGTGCTGTCGTGGGTGATGAGTTGCAAATCCACCCCACGGGAGAAAGGAGGTTTCCTGCTCCCGTAGAGATGGACGGTCTTAGAACCCTCCAGGGCGGTTTTACTCTGTCCTCTGCGGCCCAGGATGAGTCCAAATCCACTCCAAGGGGCTCCACTCAGAGGATTTGGGTTTGGGTTTGAAAATAAGAGCGTGGGACTCCCTGGTGCAAGCCTCGCCTGTTTTTACTTGACTTTATCTTGTTTGGTTTTCAGTTCAAACAGCAGCTCAGGCAATGCACCCCTTTCTTCGTCCTGAAAAAGCCGGCCTGGTCATCCCTTCCACCCACTCACGCCCTCCCCAGCCCATGGCGGCAGAGGTCATGTTGATGATTCCAAACACCCAGAGGGCAGGTCCGAGGCTAAGACCCGGCTTCTCAGAGTGCACTCCGGGAATGGCAGGGTCCCCGCCCCTGGGCGCTGATCAAAAATGTACCACTTCAGCCCCATCCACCCCAGATGTACACAGCGCTTTCTAGGAAATCACTTTACCTACCTCACTGCAGCCTGTGCGGGAGGCCTTAGTCTCCTGTTTCCCAGATGACACGGAGGAGCCGCAGACACACGCTGACTCGCTCGTGTGCTATGATTTGTCTTTATTCAGCTCCATGAAGTGATGTGCCCACAGCCACAAAGCTAGTCAACCAGTCAAGACAGTCCCCAAACCCAAGTCTTCTGATTTCCTTGCCAGGTTACTCCCTGGCTCCCAAGGAGGGCTGCCTAGGAGCAGATGGTGGGTTCTGAGGGTCCCCAGGCCTGAGAGGGCCTCAGAAAGATGTGCAGACGTACACCCACTCTGGACTCAGGGAACCGGGAGGTTAGTGTCTGCTCATCTCGACAATCCCAAGAGCACAAACATGTCCTCATTGTTGCCGCCGCTCTCCCACTTCAGCACCTCTCTCCACCCAGCTTCAAGGAACACAAAGGCAGGGGCCCCGCGCTATTCATCTTCTTCAACAGAGCAGTGATCCTGCCATTCGCCTCAATGGGCTGCAGAGAGGGGAAGGCAGAATTCTTTCTTGAAGGGAAGATAAATTCTTTGGGGGATGATTTTTTTCCCCCCTGAGGCTCCTAAAATATGTTTACAATTGGTCCCTAGAGAGAGAAATGAAAACCAGTTTCCCACAAAGCTGAAAGCACTGAAAAAGAATGGTCGGAAAGCAGCCCATTAAACATTATCCATTCCCAACGTCTTGGGTTAAACCTCCCCCTCCAGCTTCAGGCTATAACCATCATGGGATGCCTTAAAGGTCTAACGAACGTCCAGCTAAGCAAAGCCTGAAAATCTTCCAAACCTAACAGACTGGGTTCCCTTCCCCTGGCCTGCCCATTGCCTCCCTCCATGTAGGCTGGAATTTTGTAATTCAGATACCAATGCTGCTTTCAACAAATCGCAGGAGCTATGGGTTGATTCCTTCCCTTGATTTTCCTCTCCCAAGGAACGATCGTTCTTGGTCTTTCCATTAAGTTCTCCCAAGAGCAACTCCTTGAGGCCAAAAGGGTGGCCTACTATGGGACAACGCCCCCCCACTCCCACCCACCCCCTCCCTCCCCAGAGCTGCTGACAGGCTTCTTGCTCCCTGGCCTGCCTTTCCACCTAGCTTGCGACAGTCTGAGGCAAACTCCTCCTTGCTTCACTCTGCCTTCTGCTTCCAGAGCTGAAACCCTGTTTCATTTCATTGTGTAGAAACAAAACTAGTCAACTGGGGCAGCAGCGATGACCCCACTGCCACAGCCATGGCCCAGATCTAGTTATTTTACTCCTCTGAGATGACGATGGCGGTGGCTCATGATCACTGAATGTTTACTCTGTTACAAGCACTGCTTTAAGAGGCTTACTAGGGCATTTACTTGGGGTCACCAGCTAGGTCACTCACTCAGGTCATGTGATTATAACTAGAAGGGAGTTGTCCTTAGGTCCTCGGAGATGGTCCAGCAGGTTCTTGTCTGCTATGTCATCCTCAACACCTCCAACCCCGCCTTCTTTCAAGATCCATGGATCCTTGCTGCCGTGGAAGCCTTGCTTCTCAGGCAGGTAGTCAAATCGAGTGGGAAGAGGCACCATTTCCTTAGCTTCAAGTGGGAGTTTTGGATGTCTTAGGCCCCTGGAGTAAACCGTGTTCATTAAGCATTAGCCCTGCTAGAAAATCAAAGCACCCATCCTTTGGGCCTCAGATCTGAGGGGCTGAAACCTGTTGTTTTCGAGTTACCAGCAAATTTGAATGGCTGCCTTGTCCAATCCCCCAATCCCTTGGTTTTACAAAGGGGAAACGGAGGCCCAGTGAAGGCCAAAACTACATTAGAGACCAGGCCACTAGTGGTGGTTTAGTGCGTGAACTAATGCCACAAGAGTGGAGGTAAATCCTGGTGATCCCACACACCACCTCTGTGACCTTCCAGGAGCTGGCTACTAGCCTCGTTTCACTGCAATTTCATCACTACATGGTGGTGATGGGAACAACAGCACATGTCTCCTGAGACTTCTGTGAGGACTCAGCATTCCGCAGCGTTTAGAGGACTGCACTCAGCAAGGTCTCTAAGAGGCGTGGCTTCTGTTTTGACTTGAATTCCTGAGCACAGCTTAGCCTCTGGTGCAGGGCAGTGAACGTTGCTGGCACTCCTGCTGCTTTGGGGTTTAGACTGTCACTCCCGCCACTGCTGAGCTGGAAGCATCCCACGGACCACAGGACGAGGGCATCCTCTATCCCCATGACTGGGCAGCTCGGGAGAGTCCGAAGGAGACAGACCCTTGAAGGTCGAGTCACCTTTCGGGCTAAACTTTTCTATCTGTGTCTTCTGAACATCTGCGTGTGCTTATGCTCTTCAAAGGCTCTGAGAAAGGGATGTTGCAGGATTCGTCTTGAAATCAAACCCTGGAAAGTTTCCTAGGGATGAATTGCACAGGAGAATGTATTCACTTCCTAGGGCTACTGGACAACAGGTCCCATGCTGGGTGGCTCAAAACAACAGAACTTTGTTTTTTTCACCCTTCGGGAGGCCAGAACGCTACAATGTGGGGGCCAGCAGGGCACACCCTCTCCAAAGACTCGAGGGGAGAATCTTTCTTTGCCTCTCCAGCTTCTGGTCATCCTGGTCTTCCTGGGCTGGCAGACAGCAATTGAGTCTCTCCCTCCATCTGTTTGCTCCTCTGCCTCTCTCTGCTCTCTCTTCGTATAGACTGGCTTTAGAGCCTATGCTAATCCAGGGTGCTCTCTTCTCCACCCTTAACTAAGGTTCCAAGTGGACATGAATGTTGGGGTGGTGGTGACAGGTGGGTCTACTGTGTCAAACTGGCTATAGGAACATGTGGGATTAATAAGGTTGCAGTTTGACTGGAGGACAAAGAGATACATGACTCGGCAAGGCCC